CGGAAGCACTTTCCTCATCTAGTCCTTGGCTAATAACGAAAATATGCAAAAGTTCTACTAATAAAAATATGTCTTTCCTAAGTTAATGACTAAACTTAGACATGAGACTAATAAAAAACCACGCGCTCGCCTCCCAAAAAAGACCGGAAACGTGGGCCGAACAAGAGAGAGCGCTCGCCCTCCGCAAGTCGCAAGACAAAGGCCTACCTTGCACCGAAAGTACAGCCAACATGTCAACTTCGATTGGTCCCCGAGGGTGAACAGAAAACCAGCAGGCGCATAAAAGGACCAGTCAGCGATGGAACGGAGAGATTATTATGTAAATATGAAAATTATAATAATCGCGTAGACAGTTGTTGCCAATTGCACGTGCGCTGTACTAGCAAGTAAAGACTTGTGACCAGATTCCGTACCCCGAACCGCCTGCGATATATGAAGTATGAATAATGTAAAAATTAACAAAATTTAGCTTTAAAATATTTTTTTATAGACCAGTGGCTTTTTTTCTGAACGATTTATCGCCTGATCTTTGAATTTATTAGTAATATCTGTAAACAGCCCTTAGACAAGTTATCATTGTAGGCTTTATAACAGATTTACTACAACGAATAGGCATGGTCTAAAAATACGAACAGCTGAGCATAATTAATGATCACGTTCATCTTCGTGAAAGCCGTTATTATTTTCTACTTTTGTTCTACTGCTCGCACCGTGGGTATTGACCAAGGACTGGACGAGGAATGTGTCATCGAGGTCGACCGTTACAGCGCCTTGATCACCGAATCACTGCACGTTTCTGCGAATGAATGGTCAGCGATTGCCGCTGTGACGCAGAACTGAACAGGCAAACCGGAAAGTCACTTAATCGTATTTTTGACTTCATTGTTTGTCTGAAGGAGCATATGTCATGCAGATATTGAGGTCCAACGTAACACATTTCGCATTTCGAGGAGTATTAGCATATTGATAAGTTGCTGGTCTTACATGCAATTGCTGCCGGACTTGATTTCGAAACTAGTGTTTCCGTATTAACGAAAATTCACCTCACCTTGCTCTGACGCATTCAGGATCATCTCCGAATAATTTTAGCTTTACGATGCCTCGGTGTAATAACGTAACGGCTTATAAGCTCTGCGGTGACGCATTTAATTCGTTCGATGGATCATCAGTCAACAAAAGGTTCAGCTCAAACTTAAAATTACATAAATGACAAGTGTCATAAACAAATATCATTCTCCAATGAATCTTGGCTCCGCTGAAAATTCATAAGAAACAGTTCGAAACATTTAACAGTTTTTATAGAGAAAACTCCAATCACAACACTGCTAAATATGTAAGCATCATGTTAGTCTTGTACTTCAGATCATGACAGTCTCGAAATTATTCCAGCGAATATCTTTAGTGCGTTGGAGTATGTTAATAAGCAAATACGTTTCCCAAGCAATAGGATAGGGAAACTCCTACTTGGTCTTAGATGCGTAAAGGGTAACTGAAAGCCATGCTAAAATACCGTGGAATAGCGGCCTTTTAAATGCCCCTTCATAATCATTGTGCACAACGGCGTAATCCTACATCGTGAAGTCTGGATTGGAGGAATCATTGGTCAATTATTGCATATGACGCACGATCAGTTCGTTTGCTGGTATTGTTTCTTAGCATGATAAAGTCAGCGACTAGTGGTATGTACTACATTTTCAGGACTCTGTACACATGATCCGAATATGACAAGATTACGATATGCGTAAACTAAATTTGAATCATGTTTGATGAATCGTTAATATAAATGCTTGCATTTCAACATGTCATGAAGGAATTAATTATCTTTTGGTGCTATTCTGCCAATCGCGAGAAAGGATACAACTCCCGTGCGAATGGATGAATCTCGATAATCAATAGCCAGCTATTTATCGAAGAATTCGAATCGGTCGAAAGCTTGCCACTTCCTTCCTGAGTGGAATATGTAAATAGGCTGCGGAAGACGACTTTCAGCACAACGGCACAGCAAAATGTATCCTGAAGAACGGCAGGAACTTTTAGAAAAACCAACTTAGTAAAACTGCTTTCTTGCGCTCAATTGTACTAATGTATGTTTTTACGTAACTTCCTATTGCTGTTAATAGGTTGTAACTGCTTCTTTCTTAATGACTATATATATTATAACAATTTTTATTTCACTGTTACGTTAATTTTTGTAACTACTTTCGAAACTGAAGTTACAAAAGATGGGCAGTATACAGTAAAGTTCAAATTAACCCCTCAGTTTATAACTTCAAACTAGAAAAGGACTCTTAATAATCTGACAGATTTCTCAAGAAGAAACTTCGCAGTTTAACATGCAGAATAACAGAGATTTGACTGGAACAGTTTAAGCACGATGGGTGCGATGAGACTAGGGTCCGATTTAAGGCTTAGCACTTTTAGAATACTTTAATTACACCGTGCCGGATGCAGAAGTCGACAAAATGGAAGCAAGGATCAGGCGCTTGCGATCCTGAAAAACAGTGTGATGCGCACCAGTGAGGTTTGACTGAAGAAAAGGTAACCGATCACTAAATATTAGCCACATCCCTCACGACGTGACGCGAGGCGATGCGAAGTCGCCCGATTGGGTGTAATCAAATTAAAGGCTGAAAGACGGCCGAGCATGAGTCTACGACAGACAAGCAACCTCGGACAAGACTACGAAAAAATAGCTCAGCAGTCATGCCGGCTGTGATTGATCGCCAACCCAGTAGCCGAACAACTGCCAGTGATGTGACGCATTGGTCGGATCGATATACCACTGACCGACGGTGACGCCTACTGAACGGATAATCATGCAAGGCCCGTTCGGAACCGATGGATACTGGCCTAGGTGTCAGTGTGCACAGAGGGTGCATGTGACATCACACGTTTCCCTGTGAAACTGAAGTTGAAGAGGTGGTCCACGTTGCGCTAGATATGCTCGGATATCCTCTGTTGAACTCTGATCGAATGCTCGGTGCCAGTTACGGACGCAGAAATCAGAAGGAGTTCGATTTTTTAATGGTCAATCCTTCCATATGTATACCCAACAGTCATTGGGCAGCGAAAAAAACGCTTCCTACACCTCAAAGCCAGGATCGTGCGTGTT